CCTTCGGATCCCGCTACGCTGGCGCGCGCCCGCTGGAGGAGGTTGAGGCAGCGTCAGTGGGCCGCGTTAGCTCGGGCCGCCGCGGGGCGCCGAGCCCCCGCCGAACGCGGGCGCGCGCCCTGAAGCGCTCCCGGCAGTCCCAGAAGTGAGAGCCCTTCCCCCGCGCGCGCAGCGAAGGTCGGGGATGGTCGTGGCCCTGTGCGCCGAGAAGCGATCCAGATGTGCGTGGTCCGCAACCGCTCGGGAGGTTGGGGGCTGGGAAGTGGTCCGGCGACCTCGGGTGACCAGGACATGCTGGCGCCGGCCTTCGTGGGGAGTGCCGGCCTGGCACTCTTCCCGCGGGTGGGGCGCAACGCCCGCGGGCCCGCGCGCTGGGGGCGCCCCTCAGGCCCGGGGCGTTGGGGGGGGGGGCCGCGGAAGGAGGCGCCCGCGCGGGCGGTCGCCGTCGCGTCGCGGAGGACCCCCGTGGCGCCGTTTGGTTCCACTGCCGTGCGGGGCGAGGCTTGCCCCGCGAAGTGGGCGGCGCCGATGGTGGAAGGGCCCCGTTCGCCACCCCGAGGGGGGGGCGGGGTGTGGGGCTGGCTTTCGGGGAGGAGCGCTGCGTTGCCAGGGTGGCGCGCGGGCGCGCGGAGGAGCAGGCGCTCGGCGAATTTAATGGCGGCCCGATGGAGGGCAGGGCGAAGTTTGAGCTGCCCCCCCGCGGCCGCTGGAAGACGCCGCCACGGGGCAGACTCCCGCGGGGCGCAACGGCGAGCCGACGGAGGGCGGGCGGGGGGGGCGGAGGGCCCGCCGAGAAGCCCGCGGGCGCGAAAGCGACGAAGGACGAGGAGAGCGACGCGGGGTGCAACCTTATCTCAGAGCTGGCTAGGGCATCCACAGTGCTTAGCCCCGCGGGCGCGAGGGCCAGGGGGAATTGCCCGGGGCGGGGGAGGGGGAATGGGCCCGCCCCTCCGATCCTGTAAGGGGGCAGCCGTGCCGGTGGAAGCGGCGGGGGGGCCATTGGGGGGCGATCGTCGCCAGCGCGCGGGGGTCCTGCTGCCGAATGGGAGGGTGGACCTACTTGGGGCGAGGGCCGGGATGGGGGGCCGTGGGTCGACGCCGTCGGCGATTGTTTCCCGAGGGGCTTCGCTGCAACCTGGGTGCATGCCGCGCGCGGTGGCTGTGGTGGTCGTGGGCCGCCCCGATGAAACCCTTCCGGATTTCCGCTGCTTCGCGGGCGGGGGCCGGCAGAGGCTAGCTTGGGGGCCGCTGTTCGAGGGTTTTACGGAGGCGCTGAGGCGTTCCCCATGTCGGGCGAGTGGCGCGCGGGGATCGTGAGGGGCCAAGAACGCGACGGGCGCGTGGCCTTCGACGGCGTCGAGGCCTTTGTCCACTTGCGGAGCGCCTGAAGGGTGGTGAGGGTGCGGGAGGTGATAGTAAGCGTCCAAGCCCTATCTACGAGCTTCGCGCGTTTCGCGACGCTGTGCCGACTTCTTGCGCCAGCGAAGAAGGGGCCCTGGCGTTTTCCCTTCTGCCTACTGCGTTGTGAAGTGGGGCGGAGGAGAATGTGGTTTTGTTTGTGCATAGGTTGTGAGGATTCCCGCGCGAAGCGGCAGGGCGCCCCTGTCCATTCCCAGTCGTTCTGCGGCCCATCGGGCTCGAGCCTATCTGACAGCCCCCCCGCCCTGCGCGCCCGCGCCGACTGGCAGTGGCGCGCGCTTCGCGACGCTGCGCGCATTATTTGCGCCGGTGCAGCAGGGGCCCTGGCGCCCCACCCCCCCGCCTGGAGCGGAAGAGAATCGTTGTGTCTTGAACTATATAGTTCGAACACGCATCGTCGTCGTTGAATAATTTGGACATGTGCGCACAGCGGCGCGCGCATCAGGCCGGCGTGGCGGGGGTCCTTAGATGGCGCCTCTTAGATCAACGCATGTGCGCCGCATCGTATTCTGTGACAGGCAAGGGGAAGGTGCCGGGCCTGCCTGGCAGGCTGTTGCTTGATAGTTGGGATGACCGGTCATGCGTCATCGACGTGGCAAAGCAGTATCCCTAGGGGCATTGTTAACCCTGGCCTTGGTGGGGGGAGATGAATGCACGTTTGGTGAAATCTGTGGAGCAAGTGATGTGGTGCAGCTAATTTCTGTTCGCGGTGAGTTGTCAGCTCCGCTGCTCGCGCGATCGCCCCGCCGGGCCGCCCGCGATTTGGTCTGCAAGCCCTATGCGGCGGCGACTGCGATGAGTGCTTGGCGTTGGCTGGTGCGTCTCTGCGGCCGCGCCAGCCCGCGCGTGCTCCCGGGCGAAGCGGCCGGCTTGTTTGGCGTTGCCGACGCGCCCGCGGTGGCGTCGATTGCCAGGCATTTCCCAGCGGGCACTTCAATGCGAGTCGGCAAGTTGGGCGGGCGCGGTATCATGGCAACGTCGACAACGGTAGGCGCGATTATGGTAGTGGCGATGCTGGTGACGACGGCAATTGCGGCGCCGATGCTGATCACGCCGACGACAATGACGGCGTCCTCGCGTCGGTGATGATGATATTGGAAGGAGTTCGACGCGCGCGTGCGGCCGACGCGCGAGAATGGCCCGCGTGGAATTATTTGACGCGGATCGTGCTCCCCCCAGCACGCGCGCAGGGGCGTTCGAATGATGTCGACATGCGGCGCGAGAATCCCGTCTGGCTTAATGTAATGCCAATGTTGAAAAAAAGCGATGGTTTGCGTCAGGATTCGCAGGAACGCGAACGCAGACATGCTGTTTAACTGATGATGCAAACGAGTTTTTCTTATAGTATAGTATAACATTTAGCGGGTTCAGAATAGCTTTTTTTGGGGGCATTCGATTTTACGACACCTCAGGCGTTTGAGAGATTTCCGCATGCGCGCGACGACGCGCGCACGTGCGTTTCGTCATATGTTTTGCAGAGAGTTCTTGCGACAGCGCGCGCTCGAGGGCGCTCGAGCGATTTCGACGTGCGCGCTCGAGAGGCACGCGTGGTAGAATTTGGAGAGCATGTTGAAAAGACAGGTGGTTTTCTCAAGAATCTGCACGAGCGCGAGGGCAGGCTTCCTTCGAACAGTTCTTGCTGCGAGCCCCTTCCATTTTCTTATACGTGTATATGTTTGTTTGTACGTATGTATGGAGGTGTGTATGTTTGCATTTATGTTTGTATATGTACGTTTTCACACACACACGCATATATATATATATATGTACATACATTGGCGGTTTGTAATTAAACACGTTGTGCAGAAGTCAGCAAGCCGACAGGGGGCGGACGTGGGTCCGTCACCGTTTTTGCTCAAGCTTTTAATTTGCGGCCTCGCCTATGCAATCCCTCGGGCACATTCTCTCGGGGGCACGCCGCCTGGCCGCCATCGCCGGCGGGGTCGCATCGCAGTGGGCGAGCAAGGCCGGCATTTGTGTGGTGATCGCCAACAGCATCGGTGACCTGAGGGTCGCCTTCATCTTTCTCTTCGCCGCAGGGGTGTTCCTGGGCTGCATCGGAGGGTGTCTCTGCTGCAAAGGTCTGGCTCTGAGCCATGGCCTCCTGGCGAGCTGGTCACAGGATCGGAGTCTTGTGGAAGGGCGGAGAGGACTGGCAGACGCGCGCGCTCCTTTGTCCTGGTACTACCGCCGACGCCGAGAGCGATCTCCAGATGACTGGCTTGAAAGCAGCGGGGAATAACGGCAACATATGGTACGCTCTCACACCAGACGGGGACGTGTACATTCACGTGCTGGAACCCCCGGGAGTCCGGGGATCGGCGCTGTGCGATCAGATGGGCCTGCCCGAGCGGAGCGGGCCCTTGCAGTTCGGGAGGACGTGGCGAGCAGGCGGCAGGATCTACGGACAGGAGTGGACCCCGACGCCAGAGGAGTTCGTCGACGCGCTGCAGTTCGCTCTGGGCGGCTCCTTGTTCGAGGCAGCCCCGCAGGTGGCGGGCAAGACGGTCTCGGTGCTGCGACGGATGAGCAAGAAGGGGCCGCTCCCAGCTGGCGCGGCCTTGGCTGGGGGAGCTCCTCCGAGTGGCTTTGTGCGTGGCTCGGGTGCCCTACCGTCCGCGGTGGGGATGCGCTGGCAGGTTCAGGCCGCCAGTGGCCCAACACCCGAGCGCCGCCCGCTGCAGGACTACGACGTGGACGAGTACTGCACCGCGGGCGGCTTCGCGCTGGCATCTCAGGAGGAGGAGCTGCTCCTGGTGAGGGAGGTCGAGAAGTCCTCGCCAGAGGACGACACGGAGGTGGACGCCAGGCTCTTGCCGCTCGTGGAGGTCGAGGGCGTTCGCAAGCGGCACTTCAAGGACTCGCTCAAGGGGCTCACCGAGGCGGCCTGGCGAGAGTGGCCCGTGCGCGGGCCGCGTACGACTGTCTGGTGTGCCAACTTCGTGGGTGACCAGGACAGTCACCCACGCTCGAGACACACTAAGTGGAAGGCCGAGTGCGGTCTCACGACTGCCGACGTCGGTGTTTCGGAGCATGAGTTGTGTATGCGAGTGCTGGAGCTGGCCATCACCTACGACCAATTGAACATCGGGGAGTTGGCCAGCTTCGAGCTCATGCTCAGGCGCGCGCAGATGACGGAGTGGAGATACAGAGAGCGCGTGCTGGGACGTCCACTCCTGGACGACACGGCGGAGGGCGAGTTCTTCTACATGGGGGCGGCGGAGACGAGGGGGCTGCTCATGGTGGCCCCGGAGCTGCAGGCCCACATCTCGGACGAGCTGCACCGCGAGTCGGCGGTGCTCAAGGAGAGGCGCAAGCTCCGCGAGGAGCGCCTGGCGTCCCGCGGGCTACCACCAGCTGGCGGCGGCGGGGGCTCGGCGTCCGCGGCAGCGATGGAGACGAAGATCAAGCAGCAGGCGGCGGAGCTCTCGAGGCTCCAGGCGAAGCTCAACCACGGCGGCGGGGGCGACCCAGCCGCGGGGGAGAGGCAGGCTGCGGCCAAGGGCCGCGGCCGAGGCACCTAGTCGCCCTGATGATCGCGCCGCGGGAGCTCCTCCCTCTGAGGGGCCCTGCGGCTTCAGGCGCCTCGCCCTCCGTGGCGGGCGTCAGCCGGGCTGTGCGCTCGCGTGTTCGTCGTCGCGCAGCCTGCTCGTCCTGGGCCAATGAGATCATCGACACAGTCAACAATTTGTACTTCCACGGCGAGGTACAGCAGCATCACTCCGTCTCAGCTGGGCAGCAGCTCGCCCTGGACCACATCCGTGACGTGGTGCAGCGAGCTGGACCGCCCATGATCGAGCCCGCGGCAGCCTTTCGAGTGCTGTGCGGATCGGTGCCAGGGTGCACTGAGCCCTCGGCAGAACATTCACCCTATCGACGAGGCGCAGTCTCGTTGCCGGCTCCTGGAGCGGACCTTGCTCGTGGCGACGTCTGTCTTCGAGGGCCGGCATTGCAAATGTGGACAGGGTGGCGAGACTGTCTCTTGCACCCCAACCCGGACCTCTCCGGGGCAGTGCGGCCGTACTCTGACCCCAAGCTGATTCGGGACAGCGGCGCGTACGCCGAGTTTTTGGTGGACATGGCACGTTCAGGGCTCGTCTCCTTCACGAGCGAGGGGCCATCCACCGTGGGAGTCTTCTTCGTTAAGAAAGGTCCAGATCGTCTTCGACTCATCCTGGACACTCGACGAGCAAACAAGCTGTTTTTGGATTCTTGCCACACCCAGCTCTCTACACCATCGAGCTGGTCCTTTCTGTACTTGCCACCCGAGGCGGAGCTGATGATGTCTCAGACCGACGTCAACAACGCGTTCTATCGCATCCAGCTCCCCCCCGGCATGAACGACTATTTCATCCTGCCCAGCATCGACGCCAAGTGGATCTCCGAGGCCGCCCCCGAGCTGGCCCCTGGTCTCCCCGCGGGCATCCGCATCTCCCCTCGCGTGGAGGTGCTGCCCATGGGGTTCAACTGGGCGCTGTTCTTCTGCCAGGAGATGTTCCGCAACGCCGCAGAGGACGCTGGCTTCGCTGACGGGCGGATGTTCCTGGACCGCCACTCGGCCCCCGACATCACCACCCAGCCAGGCGCCGCCGTGTACGTCGACGGCGTGGCCGTGGTGGGGGCGGGCCTGGAGGCGGTCGAGGCCGGCGGAGTCGCCGTGGCCAAGCAGCTGGAGGAGCGCGGCCTCCAGGTCAAGGGGGTCGAAGGCACCTCGGACTCCCAGACCTTCACAGGGATGGAGTTCGATCGGACCTCCGGCCGCATCTCGCTCAGCCGCGAGAGGATCTGGAGGCTGCGCGCGGCCCTGCTGTTTGCTGCGGACCAGCGCTACTTGACTGGACGCCAGATGCGGCGGCTGGTCGGCCACTACACGTGGAGCGCGACTCTGCGGCGTGAGCTCCTCAGCGTCTTCAGCAGCGTCTACGCCTGGGCGGAGAAGGCGGGCGACAAGAGGTGGCGCCTGTGGCCTTCGGCCGAGCGGGAGCTCCGCCAGGCCGCCGCCCTCGTGGCCTTCGCCTTCGCGGACCCCAAGCGCCCGTTCCACGCCACGGTCGTGGCGACCGATTCCTCAGGCGCTGGGCTGGACGACGCCGGCGGCTACGGCGTGGTCACGCAGGAGTGGCCCGTGGAGAAGGTCCGGCGCTGCTGCGGGCATGCCGAGAAGTGGCGCTACGGGGTGCAGGGGCTCGTCGCGGCCAGGGCGGCCGCGCTGGGCAGCCCCGCCGACCCCAGCTCGCCTCGCCCGACGGCGCAGAGCGGCGAGAGGTGCACAGACTTCGAGAGCATGACGCGAGACGACATCGGGGCCTTCGAGAACTGGAAGCTGGTGTGCCAGGGCCGACGGGCCCGGGCCGAGGGCATCCTGAGGACCGAGGGCCGAGCATGCATGATCGGCCTCCGTCACGAGCTGAGGTCCACGAGCACGCACGGAAAACGTATACTCTTTCTTGTGGACAACATGAGTGTGGTATTGAGTTTGGGTAAGGGTAGATCCAGCAGCCATCAGATGAACCGAACATGTCGTGAGCTTCTGTGTCTGTCAGTTGTTGCCAATCTCCAGGTCGTGGTGAGATGGGTCGCCTCTGAGTTGAATCCATCCGACCGCGCGTCCAGACTCCCGGGCTCAGCCATCTCGCTGGGCGGGGGTGGGCTTCGCGCGGCGGGGGGCGATGCTGCGCCGTCCGAGGCCGTGCTCGCCAGCCGCTTCGATGCCGAGCTGGAGAGCGCGGCCCGCAGCCTTGGGCCCGCCTTTGGCGGGGACGCCTGCGGCCGCCCCCTCGCCGGCCTGGGGGACCAGCTCGCTGCTGAGGAGGCCAGGCTCGGCACCGCCGCCGCGGAGGCCGGTGAGCTCAGCGACAGCTCCTCCAGCTCGGGGGAGAGCTGGCCAGCCGGCCCCAGCGGCAGCGACGGCCAGGCGCCGCCACGCACGGGGCGGGCCGACTGCGACACGGTCGACTCGAGCAGCATCTCACGATTTGCGAGCCCGCCGCGGACAGCAGCGACGGCAGCACCAGGCGCGGGAGATCGCCGAGGCCCGCCTCCAGATGGCCAAGATAGGGCCTCGCTCCCGCGCTCAGTACCAGAAGTTTCACCAGGCCTTCCTGGAGTGGAGCAGCCAGGAGGGTCAGCCCCTGGACACCGACCTCCAGATCGACCGGGCCCTCAGCAGGTACATGGACTACCTGTACTACGAGGGCTTCAACGCGGACGCGGGCGAGAAGGTGCTGGCGGCTGTGGCCTTCCACGGCCCAGTGGAGGGCCTGGAGCTTCCAGGAGCTCGCCGGGCGCTGGCGGGGTTCCGGCGCCGGGCGAGCGCGAGGACCCGCAGCCCCCTGCCGCTGGCGGGCGTGATGGCCATCGTGGGTGCAGCAGCGGCCGACGGCCAGCTCCCCTTTGCCCTGGGGCTTGTGCTGGCGTGGGAAGCCTACCTCAGGCTGCCGTCCGACCTCGTGAGCATGGTGGGCGCCTCTCTGGTCAGGCCAGCCGCCCGGAGCCCCCAGGCGTGTTGGGGCCTGCTCCTGTTTCCTCAGGAGGGGGAGGCGCGCAGCAAGATGGGGCACTACGACGAGGGGGTCATGCTGGACGGCCAGTTCGGATCCACGCTAGCGCCTTTCCTTCGCTGGCTGAAGGCCCAGACCGCCGACGCCAGCCCGCTGTGGTCCTTCTCGAGCGCCACCTTCAGGCGCCTGTTCAACGAGTACGCCGCGAAGGTTAGCCTCGGAGGCAAGAACCCTTACCAGGTCAGGCACGGGGGAGCCTCTCTGGACGCCCTAGAGTGCCGGCGCAGCCTGAAGGAGATCCAGGAGCGGCTCCGCCACCTGTGCGAGTCCAGCACCCGTCGGTACGAGAAGGGGACCAGGTACCTGGCCGAGGTCAACAGCCTCGACAGCCGGGCCCGGTCCTACGGCGAGCAGGTCCTCAGGCAGCTCGACGGGGTGCTCAGCGGGCGGGTCCGCCTCCCGCCGCCGCCGGCCCTCGCCGGCGCCGCGGGCTGCGGACGGGTGCCGTGATGCGCCAAGGCGACGCCCTAGAGGCGGTGGAGCGAGCCTCGGACACCAAGGTGATCCGCCGCCTCCGTCAGGGGCTCGCTCGGGCCAGCAGGCGAGGCCGGCGCCGTGGGCAGGTGTTTCTTGACTTGTTCAGCGGTGCCGGCGGCGTCGCCAAGGCCCTCGAGCGCCACGGCGACAACGGTTGCCTCCAGATCGACATGGGGGCCGACGTAGCTTTCGATCTCACCCGCCGCTCGGCCCAGCAGCTCATCTTGGGCTGGATGGCCAGCAGGCGCGTGCGAGGGCTCTGGATCGCTTTTCCATGCACGACTTGGTCTGCAGCCTCACGGCGCACGTACCGTCGCCCCGTAGAGCTCCGTGGCCGAGCGAATTTGACAGTAGAGCAAGAGCACAAAGTGAGCCTTGGTAATAAGACCCTTGCCGCCACTGTCCGTTTCATTAGAGCTGCAATCATGAGACATATCCCAGTTGTGATCGAGAATCCTCTCACAAGTATGGCCTGGCAAGTCCCCGAAATGAAGAGGCTAATGGCACACCGCAGTTGTAAGATAGCAGTTGTGGATCAGTGCATGTTTAACACCCCCTGGAAGAAGCCCACAACAATTGTAGGCTGGAGTGTTTCTGAACCGCCCGCCCCTCTCGTCCAAAGGTGTCGTGGGAAGTCTCTGTGCTGCAAGACCCTCCGGCCTCACCTCGTCCTCGAAGGTAGCCGGCGGACCGCCTTGGCTCAGGCCTATCCGCGGGGGCTGGCGGAAGCAGGAGCTCGATGGCTGGTCACTTCAGCCGATAGTATCGAGCGCGCACACGTAGGGAGGTTGTTGATTTAATTATCTCGTGCTCTGAGCTGCAGTTGCTAATTTAACCCTTGCTCTGTAAGAATGTGAGTGATTGCGGCACGGCCAGTAACATGAATGGGCTGTGGGGGGCTTTCCCCGAATAATCCTTCTGCCGACTCGGGCCCCAGAGACGGCTCGGTCGCAAGTCTCGTGGCAGCATAGGTTCTCCTGGTTGCAAAAACAGTGCACATTGGCGGTTTGTAATTAAACACGTTGTGCAGAAGTCAGCAAGCCGACAGGGGACGGACGTGGGTCCGTCACCGTTTTTGCTCAAGCTTTTACCACCTCCTCCTCTCCTCCTCCGCTTTCTTGCACTCTCACGGTGTGGGGCTTTCCCCGGATAATCCTTCTGCCGACTCGGGCCCCAGTGACGGCTCGGTCGCAAGTCTCGTGACAGCATAGGTTCTCCTGGTTGCAAAAACAGTGCACGTATATATATATATATATATATATATATTATATATATATATATATATATATATATATATATATACATTTGTATGCATATATAGACATTCGGGGTATTCGATTTTGAAGCTTTTGGAACACATGTGGTTTTGACGGATTTCGGGATGACCGCGTGGCGCGCCTCGCGCGTGTGTACTTCGTCCTGTTTGCTTACAACGTTTTTTGACACTTGATAAAGTTTGTCAAACGAGTGTGCGCGCGTAGTATTGTGTTGTAAAGGATGAGGGGGGATTGCTGGCCTGGCTGGGATGGTCCGAACTCATGTTTGGGATGGGCGATGGGGCATCATATGTGTAAACTGCAATGCGGGAAGAGGGACCGTTAAGTTCCGGGGAAAGGGGGTATATCCTAATATTTTCGATAAACAAGAAGTTACGTTGTGCGACTCATGTGGTTCCATATGCGTCGTGCGTGCCATGTGGCGCATGTGGCGTGGTGCCACTGATGCGATTTATTCTATTGAACGCCCCTGAGGGGGCAGACGCCGCCGCCCCATTTTTTTTTGGGAACGCGGAGGTTGCGTGGGGGGCAAATCGGGATGTAGCGGGGGTGTTTACTCAGCTTTGGTTGGGCTTTTGTTAAGTGGGGTCTTACAGACTTTCAGAAAGCCCCAAGAGAGCCGGAAAATGACGTTAAAAAAACGCCAGGTTGGACAATAAGGTCTCAGACGGCTGGGAAAAATACGAAAGTGGGGTCTTAAAGGCTCTTAGAAAGCCCCAAGAGAGCCGGGCAATGACCTAAAAAGATGCCAGAAAGCCGTAAGAGAATTGGAATATGATTAAAAATGGACGCCTGAGGGCGCGCAAAAGTGCGGGCGAGGAGAGGCACACAAACGAGACGCCAGTTAGTTTGGGGGCCCCAAAAGGGACTCCGGGGGCCCCCATGGGCGCGCCCAGGACGGCCCAAGAAAGCCCCAAAGATGCTGCCAGATGGCCCAGGCCGGGGTCGGGAGGCGTGAAAGGACAGCCCCAGAGAGCGCCCGCTGATTCCAACGTGCTTCCACGCAGATCGCTCGGCCTCCCCGAAGGGGCCCAAGGACGCACAAGGCGCCTTCGCGCAGGCGGCGAGCACCCGGCCATGGGTCTGGAGCCTCAGCCGCAAAGCTTCTGAAACATGCCAGGCGCCAGCGCGGAATCGCACTCGAGCCGCGTCCCGGCGCGGCAAAGCAACTGGGCGTGCTCAGCCCTTCGGTGGCATCTTGCTGCTGTGCCCGCGTCTCCTGGCTGCTCCTGCTGCCATAGCCGCGGGGCCTCTGCAACGTCCCAGGCGACGGGAAAAGGAAAAGGAGGAGGGGGAGGAGGAGGAAGACGAGGGGCAAGAGGAAAAACACACCGAACAGACGCTGACCAGAAGGAGGGGGGGAGGCAGCAGAGGCAGCGCAGAGCAAGCAGGGGGCGGACGGAGGTGGTCGTCGTCGGGGACGTGCTTCCAAGAGCCCGCGAAGACGCACGTGAGCTCGAAACGAGGCAAGAATAGAGGCTCGACAAGGCCAGAATGAACATAATCACACGTGTTTTACGATGTTATTTTTTGCGTGTTGGTTTTTTTGCAGTCGAAGTGGGCCCAGGAGAGGTGGGCGGGCTGCCAGACTGGGCCAAAATGGTTTGGAGGACGGCCAGGATCGCCCCAGGAGAGCGTCTGGGGCCCCCCAAAATCGAGTCAGTGAGCTCCCGGAGAGAGGCCTCTAAGAGAGGCCGGCGGCGCCTTGAAGACGAACATGTCCAACGAGGTGTGTTCTGAAGCGAAAATGATGGCCAAAGAGCGCTCATTCCGCAGCTGTGGCCCCCGGGCCGGCGGAACGAGCAGGCCGCGGGGAGGGCCCCAGAAGGGGTTGCAAGGGCTCTGAGGAATGGGTATTGGTGCGAGGAGTTCGTGTGCGCGCAGATTGAGGGGGCTGAGTTCGTGGAGACCATGCGGCGGGGATCTCGCGCGCCGTTCCCGGTGGGGCGGCGGATCGCTTTGCTCATTCTGCCGGCCCATATTGCCTCGCCGCTGTCGTTTGTCGGGGTGTTGTTGTCACTGCGGTGCCGTTGGGCGGCTGCCATTTTTCGGGGCAGTGGGTGGTGGGTCAGGGGCCTCATGGATGTTGATTGGGTTCTCGTGGTTGGCCTCTCGGGGGCCTCTCGGAGGCAGTTTTGAGGCCTCCTGGGGGCAGTGTTGGGGCCTCATGGGGCGTCTTGGTGGCCTCTTGGGGCTTCTTGGGGTGTTTGTTGGGGGCCTCCTGGGGGCTTCTTTGGGCCTCCTGGTGGCCTTGGGCCTGCAGGCTGAACTTGTCGGTTCCTTGCGCCCTCCTTGGGCCCCTCTTGGTGCCGTGTTGGTGCCCTCTTAGGCTGTCTTGGGGCCTTCTTGGGTTCTTTTGGGCCCATCTTGGGGGCTTGTTGGGCCGTCTGGGTCCGATGTTGGAGGCCTCCGGGGCAGTTCTGGGCGCTGTGGGCCCCTGGGCGTCGCGCGTGCAGAGGATCCAGCGGATCAGGGTCCGGGGAGTATGAATGTTGCATGGAGGTGAGGCCCCAAGTGTGATCCTCATCCGTAAATTTTGGGCTCAAGCCTTGTGTGATCGGGCGCGCGCGCGCGCCTGCTCAGGAATTCCCCCGCCTCATTTCCCAAAACCTTTACATGCGTTGCAACGGCGTCAACGCGTTCGGTTTCAAGTTCAACTTCAATTACCTCTCGAGGTTGATTCCAGCCGCTGGAGGTGCCAGGGGGCCTCCTCGCAGCGAGATGGCGCGGCGCGGTGCCCAGGGGCCCTCGGCAGGGCCAGGGGTCGACGCGGCATGCGCCGAGCAGGCCTCGTGGGCCCCCGGGGATATCCTCGAGGTCTGGCCCATGATGAGGGTGAAGCCGCCAGCGCGGGGGTTTTTGAACGTCGTCGAGCACGTCGAGGGCCGGATCTTCAAGGCCTCCATGATCGACTGCGAGGATGAGTGCTGCCGTTGGTGGCTATTCACGGACCAGGGCGGCGCCCGCAACCCAGGCTTTGCAGGGTCTGCGTCGGGGCCAAAGACGACGACCAGCTGCGCTACGAGCGGGGGCTCGTCGCGCTTGTCGCCAGCTGGCGCGTCTTGAACGCCGACTGCCTTGCCCCCGACTTCGGCCTGGCGCCGTGGCTCGCGGGGGGTCGTCGGGGGAAGGCCCTCGCGGCAGCGACGGCGAAGGCCCCTTCGCCATCGCCGGCGCGCTCGCCCCCCGCCCGCGGCCGCGACGGGGGCCAGGCGCGGGCGCCGCGGCGCCGCGCGGCGGGCGGCGACGGAACCGACGCAGAGGGCGCGAGCGGAACCGAGGTTGGGGCCGCCGAAAAGACCCGGGGCCGCGAGGTTGGAGGAAGGCAGCCGCCAGAATTTGGACTTCGCGGCTCTGGCGGTGAGCCTGGCTGCGCGGACGGCCCGCGCGGCTGCGCGGCCCGGCCGCGCCCGGTCCCGAGGCGGCGCCGGGGCGTCGTCGAGCGCGACCTCCGCTCCCTCGATAGGAAAATCGAGCGCGGCGACGGCCGCCAGAGGCGGGGCGAGCGCGACCGGCAGCAGGGGGAGGGCGACGGCCGCAAGAACGAGCGGCGCGGCTTGGCCGCCCGCGGCCGCGCTTCGCCTGCCCCGCCTGCTGGCCGCCCAACTCCGCTGCCAGGGGGCGGCAGCCAGGAACGCGCTCGCGGCGCGAGGCGCTCTCCCACCCCGCGAAGCCGCGGGCGCTCCCGCGGCCGCGACGTGGGCCTGGAGGACCGCGGCCGGAGACGCTCCTGGCCAGGGCGCCGCGAGCTGCGGCGGCGAGCGCGTGCCCAGCCGCCTGCGCTCTCGGGGCCGCGGCAGCAGGGGCTCTGAAGACCGCGGCCGCAGGCGTTCCCGGGGCCGGGGTGCCGCCGGCAGCGGCGGCGGGCGCGGCCTTGCCCCCGACGGCGACGGCGTGGGCCCCCGCGAGGTGCGCCTCGCGTGCACGCGGGCGCGGGGGCCTCCTCAGGGTTTCCGCAGCGACCCGC